TGGCTGGTGCCACCAAGGCAAAGACTAGTGCACTGCCGGGAAGCTTGCCTCAGGTATGCTTTTATCCACACCTGACTAGGTGTGGCCAATTAGCACCAGCTGAAAACACTGAGACGATTAGAAGCTGCAGAGGGACGTAACATTTACTTCAAAATAAAGTTGTTTAGAAAAATGTCACATCAGCTTTAAATCAGCTTTAAATCTACCACTCTGAGTCTTGATTTATTGCTTGCATTTGCATTGGTGCTTGGTGTGTAGTGACATATGCAGGAATTACTTTCAGTTTATCCTATTACAAAGACCACCTTCATGGTCTGTCAGCTTGTAAACAGCATTTGAATTTGTCAGACCTGACTCCTTAAACACTCTGGTTTCTCTGACCTCTGAGCCAGCGGTGCTGAAATGTAGATGGATGTGCAGGTTGCATAGTTAAGTGGTTATCAGCAGGTCCAGGGTTGAGGATGATCATTTTACTGCTGGTAGTCAGACACTAATGAAGCCACACTAGCTCTCTCCAATCCAACCTTCTCCTTTCATCTCTGCTCTGGTGTCTTTAAATTTCCCGTTCCTCCAATTCACAGGGGGAATGACTGGCATTGAGCATGCAGGCTGGCGTAATGATCATGCTACATGACACTCGGATCTAGAAATAGGGGTTAGCCTTATTACTGGGAAATGACTTTTCCTTGCACACGCTGTACATCTCTCTAACTGAGATTCTCCCTCACTCTCTTTCTCTGATCTGATCAGATTGACAAGATTATGAGCTCCATTGGGGCAGGAATAAGCAGTGGATTGGACATTAAGGATGATACCTCAGGTAAGCACGCGCATGTATGAGTGAGTGTGTGTGAATCTGACTTTAAGGGCAAGTCGTATCAATTACATTTTTAGTCATATGCTCATATGTTGGGCACCATTTTTCCATAGTATGATAGTATTGCACTTAACATAGCAGTTGCTGAGTAATTAAGAGATTATGACAAGTTAGAATCTGAGTTTTGTTACTACCAAAGCTTGGGTAATGAGATAAATTAGCAGTGTTGGAGTGTTACTCACACATAACTTGATACTTTAAAAAATTTACTTACTAATTTGCTTATTTACTTCTGAGAATGGAATTTCTTATGCTATTCATTACCTTACTTTTGTGTTATTCTTTAATATGCCCTCTAATGCATTTCCATAGTCCCATACACCGACACAAATCCCTACCCTACAGTAATAAGGACACACAATCTTTCTTTTGAACAGAACGCCAACAAACACAAAGCAATGCTGCTTTGAAGAGTGCCTCTTGAAGTTCAGGCTCTGGCTGCCGGACTGGGTTCAGCATACAGTCAGTTCTTTGCTAGCTTTGTGTCAACATTATGATGCAGTATGGACACAGTTTGCACTTTACCATCATGCTCTGGTGCTTTCTCTGTTGCTGTGGTAAAAATATACTCACAGCCTGCTGGATAGGTCTTTGCCTCAGTTTTTGCCAGCAAATTTCCAGTGTTTTGCTAATATGCTATTAAGCACTAATTAGCAGGTATGTGTATTTGTGTTGCCCATCTACAGTGAATCACTGCAGATTGCTAACAAAGCTTGTTAACTGGTACTTAGAACCCCACTTTCACTTTGGGTTCCAAAAAAACACAAAATGTGTATGATTTAAGTTAGTGCTTCAAAAACCAAAGGGTGGCTACACCCATCATGGATATATGGTCTATACTGTGTGTGCTTTTAACAGGAAATGTTTGCAAAATAATGTCCTGTACCCCCTGGTGGTAAAGTGCCATTCACACATTATACTGTGCATAGATCTTTTAGAAAAAGGTTTCTTTAAGCTTATTGATCGCATTAAAAACACATTATTTGTAATTGAAATAATGGGTGTTAATGATGAATTAGCAAGTGCCACAGATCTTATAGGAGCTCAGCTCTTACTGGGTCTGACATAACTTGAACTGAGGCATTGACCCTGTCAGCTAGACCCATTATAGGAAACAAAAGAGAGACCCCACATGTGGTAAATTTTGAAATAATGGGGGGAAAGCGACAGCATAGCAGTTCAGATAAGAAGTCACTTAAAATAGTAATGTTAAACTTGCATTTTTAAAAAAAAATTACTATCTTTTTGGATTTGTAAAATCTATATAGGTTGTATATAGAATATTAGATAGAGGTGGAGTTGCAAGGAAATACTAAAATTTGAATAATTGATTTCCTGTTTTATTTTCAGCTAAGAAGCTTTTTTATATTGTTGATAGAAATGGTGGCCAAAACTATGAAATTAAGACTGCCGTTGTTAATTTAAGAATTTATCTGATTAGCATGTGGGTGGTTTTGTAAGTGATCTTGTGTGGTTCTTACAGGAAAAATGGAACTTTTTTTCTGCACAGAAAAGCACTGTTTTTTGCCAGTTTCCTCACCTGCATACCTTGAAGTCTCCACTAGTCATCTCTGTTTACTGCATTCATCCCCCTGTATTAAGTCCCCCATCCTCCACCTCCTGATCCTCTCTCTCTCTCTTTTCATCTGTGAATGCAAAGCTGCTTTTATCCATGGTTACCACAGAGAGAAATCCAGTTTATGCCACACCAGTTCTTCCCACCAACAACATATACAAAGCACCGCGCGCGCACATGCACACACAGACGTGTGTGTATATTTATGGCCACATGGATACAGTCAGCATGGTGCTGGTATGAGCGGTCGGCAGCTCAGCTCGCAGACAAAGGAGCTGAAGATGTTGCAAGGACTATTATCAGCAGTGCGAGCCAGATATATGTAGAGCAGCAGAGAGAGAGCAGGGTGATGATCGACACTGAGAGAAGACGGAGACTGGAGGTAGACAGGGGAAAGTGAGCGAGGGAGAGAGAGAGCGAGCGAGCGAGACTGAGGGAGTGAGGGAACGAAGGAGGAAAGCAGTGCGCTCAGAAAAGAGAGAGAGACGGAGAGAGAGGAGGCTGCAGAAGCATACAGATGAGAGTGGGAGTACTTGATAAAGAGAAATCTACAACGCGGGCAGCTCTCTCTCTTTTTCTCTCTCTGAAACACACACACACACACATTTGCGTGCACACACACACACAAGCTCCGGGGAGCAGCCAAGCGAGCGCAACAGCTGAAAAGAAGCTGCTGCTGTGCTGTGCACGACAAACACACAGTCGATTTTGCTTGCGGATCTATACCTCCAGTCTTATCCATCACCCATTTCTGGCAGGATTTAACCTCCATGACAGAAGCTTTTTTCTGGATACAACTTCAGCCCTCAGCCCCTTCCCATCTTTCCTCCAGCTGGATTCAGAGAAAGAAGCGTCTGGACGTCTTAACCTCCACTTTTACCTGCTTGCACCCTTGCATGCTGACCCCCTTCATACTCACCATGCCCCTTGCCTAGCCTCCTTTTCTTCCCCCCTTTCCCCCCTCTACCTGCCCTCCCTTCATCTTTGTTGTCTTGCTGCCTTGCCAAAAGACTCTTCAAAAGCATGGCGGGCTCCTTCGACAGCCACTTTGCCCGCCACAACATGATGTGGCAGTGCCAGCTGTCTCAGCCAGACTGCCGCTGCTACCGCGTGGATGGCTACTCCCTACTGAAACGTTTGCCCCTCCACCCCCTTATAGGTCCCCGCTGCCCGCTGCAGTCTGTGGGCCAGTGGCTAGACTCCATCGGCCTGGTCCAGTACGAGAACCACCTGCTGGCCAATGGATTTGACAACGTCCAGTTTATGGTGAGTGTTTTCATTGTGTTTTGAGGGAAAAGAAAGCTTCTTCAAGCTTTCTCTGCTCCTCGAGCTCATCATGTCATCGTTTTCTGTGCAGGGATTTGCATGACCAGCATGTTTCCTCCGTCACTCTGATTTTTTTAGTTTGAATTGATTGAATTTCCCCTTTTTTTGTATCATCTTCTCTCTTTCTTTCATTCTTCCCTTCCCATCATTACTGCCTCTCCCATCTGATGCCATGTGAGGTCCTCCTACGCACAGAAATCCTACACCACATTTCTGCCACAGCAAAAAATCCAGCTCCAGCATCATGCTGCACACATACGTGCTCATGCTGCAATAAAAATGCATGCTGAAATCACAGTTGTTTTACGGTTTTTGCATGCATCCGCTTGCACACAGAGGAAAAACTGTGCACACAACCACCTGTAGCCTGCGGATCGGGATCCAAACTGATGGTCTCCTCTAGTTTATGCAATCTCTTCTTAAGCAGTGACGTAGGAAGAGAAACTCGCTAGGTCATTTTGGACATTCTTTTGATGTTGCATGTGTGTGTTAGTGGGAAAGATATCCACGGAAGAGGGAGGGATGAGCAGGAAAGTAGGAAATCAAAACAAGGAGAGAAAGCAGTAGAGAAGCGATGACGCTCGATCAAGAAAAACTGCAGCAGAAGCAGAAAGATGGGAGACAAAGCAGAGAGATGCTGACTGGATGACTTCCTCTTGAGTTGGAGATTATTATTACTAATAATCTCCAACTGAAGGGGGGCGATATCTCAAAAATGGCAGATATAAAGGGTTTCGAGGGTTTATCCAGTTCTCTAATTCTGGTTGACTTACAGCCTCTTATTTTCTCCTGACTTCTTGACATCCAGAAGAGAGAATGCAGATAAATGTTGATGTTTCTGACATCAGGTCAATCGCCAGGGTATGCATGGATCACCATAAGTATTTATGGATGCATGTAAGCCTGTGTGAGCGTTCTGGTCCTACACTCAGTGTGACCTGCATCTGTTCCTTTAGTTACCCTGGCAACAGGATGAAATCACACCATCTCTCTGTTGTGTGTTTCTCCCACACGTGGTCACAGTTTATCTTGTGGTTAAAGTATTTAATACAGATGAAATGGTTTTGAAGAAGCAGTAGGTGTATCAGTTTTATTTGTATAGCACTAGTTCACAACAACATTTAGCTCAATGAATGTTGCACTGTGAGGTAAAGACTCAACAATGTTAGAAAGAGACCCTCAAAAATCAGCAGGGAGGAAGAACTTCATTTTAGCAGGAAGAGACCTTTTGCAGAACGAGTCTAAAAGAGGGGCAGTCATCTGCTGTGACCAGTTTAGCTATGAGGCCTAAGTTGTTCGTAGTCTTTCTATGCTCCTCTTTTGAAAATGCAGGAGAAAGGAGGCATAATCAAAGTGATAGACATATAAACCCATGCCGAGTGAAAAAAGTCCGTAATTGGAGGTCCCCTAGCAGACTTAATACATAGGAACATATCTAAGGCATGGTTCAAGGTTGACAGAGCATCCTTAAGTATAAGATTGATCAAAAAGTAAAGTTTTCAGCATCACAAGTAGAAATGGTGCTCATCTCCTGAACCCACTGGACGGGAGCCAGATAACTGAAGGCTTGGACTTCCTAAAAACCATGAGTAAGCCTATGCTCTGAGAATGAAGTACAATATCGGGATGGAGAAAGACAGAAATTCCTGATTTTCTTAAGCTGGTAACTGTTGAGAGCACATGCGGTTTTAGAGAACGTCTTGGTCTTAGTTTGATCTAGTTAGCCATTCTCAAAAGTCAGCCCAAGTTGCAAGTTAAAACCTGGAGCACCTTCATGGTTACTGTGTCAGGGTGGCTGAAACGGTACCATTCTTGCCTTGTGTACTTAGGGGATGCATCAACGCAGTGATGATGGCAAGATAGCAGATATTTCCTAATAAAGCTCAACATATAAAGCATACTTGAATTTTTTTATTGGCATACAGATTCATTCAGAAGCATTATCTCAAACTATCTTTTAATAAGATATGTATCTAAAACCAACCTGCCATCTGGAGTTTCAGCACAACTTCAAATTTTAATTAGAAATTTATATAAATCCATTTTCTCATAATGAATCGAGTTTCATGGGTGTCTGCAGAACATTACATTATTTTTCTGTTTAGATCCTCCTTTGGTAAGTTAATGAGCAGAAGGTAGGAGTCACTGCAGCAGCTGTTAGTGTCCAGGCAACTGTTAACGTCACACATAGGCTGTTCACAGCCTTTTGTTTTTTTTGTTTTTTAACTCTCATGTATTTTTTTAAGCCCGTGGCTGTCCACCACCATTTATGTATCTGGATTACTCTCGTGTGGACCTAGTTTATTGTCAATAACATTGTTTCTGAGAGACTCTGGGATTATCTGTTTTCCTGGCTTTACTCCCTCCATCCCATCACCCCTCTTTAAAAACGTATTCTCAATAGCTCAACCGTCTCCTCTGAAACGCCTTTAGATACAATTAATATTGAAAAGAGCTAAGATGAAGCTGCCTCGCAAACATCAGAGTAACTTCAAAGTCTCTTTTTCTAAGTGGTGCTTTTCTCCAGGTGTTAAAGTTTCGCTGGTGTCCCCCATGCTGAGTAGCGTTTGTAACTCCTTTTATGCTTTTTAACAGTCTTGACTAAACAAGAAGGCTGCTAATATTTTTCAACCTAGAGGGGGAAAAAATCAGTGTCCACCACAAATTGATATTAATGCGATTTAGGCACAGGCTACAGGCATTGTGTTGGGCAAGAGCAGCTCTTTTTTATTGTTGACTGGCTTCTTGAACGAGAGCTTTGTGCCACATTCATTTCACTCAGTATGGGAAATCGAGTGGTGTGGATGATTCAAACCGCGACTCTGCTTATTACAAAATAAAAGCTTTTTTTTTCCCTTCCCGTTTCAAGGCCAGTTCATTTGTACAGCTGATTGGTTTGCAAATTAATTTGCCCTCGAGTTTGATCTGCGTCAGTGCATAACTGTGAAAGGCCCCATGTGGCATGCAAGAATATATACATCTATATAGGCATGAATACTGTTTAAGTATGGGCCTTCCAATCTACCATTATCATTTACTGCTAATAGGAGTCATAAGTGTGGGTGTGTCCGGGCACCTTAACCAGCCAGTAGAGGACGAGTGCTGCCGGATTGATGGACAAATGGCGAGGAGTAGAACGGTTGTTATGGACACAGAATTTTATACGAAGGACACTGGATAGAGGCTAATCACATCCACTTCAGTGACCGTTCATGTATGGAAAATTTAAAGACAGAGAGACATGCAAGAGCACGGACACAGACAGACAGAGGCTGACTCACGTTAGCTGTTTCTGTTTGGATCCAAACAGGCCCTCATGTCTTGTCTTGCACTTTGACTTGCTGAATGAGCTACTAAGCGATTCTTCATTAAGATATTTGTTGGTAGCTTAACCTCTTACGCTCGCTATCGCCTGTCGTAAAATCTTCTTCAGTGTTTGTTTGGGTTTTTTTTTTATTAAAACAATGCATTACTTATTTAATTCCTGTATACTTGACACTACCTTTGTGGTATTCTGCAGCTTAATAAACAATAAGCCTTACTGTATATACTGTATGTCCACGTATCAGTACAAATTCCCATTCTAATTTAAAGGACATACCCTAAACCTTTGTTTCATTATTGAAGGATTAGAGCAAACAGTAAAGTTGTCAGGAAAACACACCCCAAAGTTCACTTCATATGATGCAACAAATGATGCTACAAGACTGTTCATCTCTAGTTTGTTAATGCGAAAAATCTCTTATGTTAGCGAGTTGCAATAGCAGGAGCTTTGCAGAGGTTTCATAGTGCTTGCAACCTGCATAGTTTTCTTCCTTTACGCTTACATTCATGTCCTTTCTTGCATATCATCTCTTGTGAAAAGTTGCAGATTACTCTGGTGTTTTTGTCCTTTTTATTATTGGGGCAATTGCACCATTTCTTTCTTTCTAACTCTCGATCATTTAGAAAATTAAAGGACTTCTGTAATGCAAGAGTACAGTAACATGATCACAGAGGGAAGGATCACATCCAGAGGGAGTTTTGAAAGAATGTTGGAAAGCAATGACAAAACGGTCAAATAGAGAGTAAATTATGTCCTTACAACAATGAACCATTTATTAAACCTTGTGCTAAAAATTCTCAGCTGGAACTGTACCAAATTTCATGCGACAGAAACTAAGCACAACACATGCTGCATCTGCTGTAGTCCTAGCAGCATGCGGTGGCCTCTTCCATGAATGTGCTACACTTCAAAAAATAGTGCTGGTTGCATTTTTCATAACAGATACTGGACCCTGGTACAGGCGGCAGACAGGGTGTAACAAGAGCATATATTTGAATAGATTTTCAGATAGTGGCCACCTGGCAAATGTATGTAGTCACTCTCTGTTTACCTCCTCTGGTCTGTTTTTTTTTTCTCCTCCTACCCTTTTTTAAAAGAGTTTTTTTTAGGTGCTCATCTGCATACATTATCCAGTTGCTTTTTTGCCGCTTGGCAGGTAATGTACAGCGGGTGTTTCTGGGCTATCTCACAAAAAATAGCCGCCTCCCGGGTCTGGAAGTTATGCCGATGAGTGCAGGGAACCTAAATGGTCAAGATGTGTGCTGTGAAACTAAAACAAGGAGACAAAGGACGATAAAATGCTTCATAAAACTGAAGGGCACTGGAGCGTCTGTGATATTACCGCTCCCTAGTTGTTCATCATGGCGAGCAGCAGCCTTTCATATGTTTTCTAAGATGCAAATGCATCTAGTGAGAGGAGAATTGAAAGCAAAGCTACGTCATATTTATGGGATCACTGGAGCGAGAAGCTCATTCTTCTTGTTTAGCCCTCTAACTGCAGTCACATTGTCCCAGCTAATACTCATTACAATCAAACCCACACACACACACACTGCATGCCAGCACATATATATGCTGAGAATATCCGAATGAATAGAGGATAGTGAAGAAAGCT